TTTTTTGGGAGTACCAAGCACTGTGGGTTTCATTCCTTTGTTTTTTTTTTTGTTTTTTTTGTTTTTCTTTTCACGAAATCACGGAGTAATTATATATCCCCCACCCGCTACAAAAGGTTTGTCCTCGTTTGCTACCCCTACTTGTCGAAGGGCGTCGCCGCACGGGACACGAAACGAAAAATGAATAGTAACGAATGTATTTTGCCACCTTTCGTGGGCAGATGCACTCGTTTCGTTTTCGTTTCTTGTGCCGTGCGGCGAGACCCGAAGGCCCCGAAAGCCTTGAGGCGCAGGGCGGGTCGCCGGGTTGTAACTTCTTGTGCCACCAGCTTTCGCGGGCCTGTCGGACCTTTTGCCGCAGTCCGGGGGCTAACAACTCCACCCGTTTTTTTTTGGTTTTTTTTTTTCGTCGCAGGGGATTGTCGACATTATTTTTACGGATTTTCACCGTGGAATGATTGTTGGTGAAGCTCTGATTTCGTGCTGAGATGCGCAGAACATCTCCTATCGGTTGTGTGGACGATCACGGCGCAGCCTTAGGTTTTTAGCAGTGACAAGCTTTATGGTCCTCGCTCCACTACTCTCGACATTCGGTAAAGTCAGAATCATGGCTGTCTCTCTTTCAATGTTCTAGCGGAAGATTCACTCTCGTTTTGCGCATGTCGAGAGGCAAGAGTAGTGGAGCGCGAGGTCCTATGATTGATTGACGCCTCCTTGTCCTCAACGTTTCATGAAGATTTTCAGGAGCTTGACACTATTACTGATAATTGCTCGTTTCTCTCATGGTGTGTTCCTCCCACCTGTCTTCTTTGGTCGTCGCATGTGTGATCGCGCCTAGCTGCACTAGTCTCCAAGTGTGCAAAATGAGAATGATTCTTCCGCTAGAACGTAGTAAGATACACTGCATCTTTTGTCTTTTCTGCATGTGGAGACTCTGGAGAGTAGTGCAGCGAGGCCCATAGTGTGCGGTGCTAACGTGTGTCCGGCCTTCGGTTGACTATTATCACAACCAGCTTATGGATGGCTTGCGGAGGTCTCTCTCTGTGTTTTTTTTTTGGTTTTTGAAGAATAACTCATTTATCTTTATTCTTCTCTCAATCCGAGGTCTCTCTTTCACGGTACAGGTCTTCCGTTTAAGGGCCAGATCCGATTGGCGAGGAGGATTGGAATAAGCGGCTGAATCTGGACGTGTTTGTGAAGAGGTGCAAAAGATTTTGATATATCTGCTTTTCTGCATCTCTGTGTGGAACACGTCCAGATTCAGACTCCTATTCCAATCCTCTTTGCCAGTGGGATCTGGCCCTCGTACGTGAACATCTCTCTGCTGCGCACCCTTCGCCGTTGTAAAGCGGGCGGACCAAGGTCGCATTCAGCAGGAATCTGCCGTATCTCCGGAATAGAAGGTACGGTCATTCTAGCTGTATTTGGTGCAACTTTCCGTTTACGTACGGATAGAAAATCTCTCTGCTGCGTACTTTTCGCTGCTGTAAAGCGGGCGGACCAAGGTCGCATTCAGCAGGAATTTGCAGTCTCCCACGAATAGAAGGTACGGTCGTTCTAGCTGTATCTGGGGCAACTTTCAGTCTCCGTACGCGTTCTATTCGGCCGAATACAACTTTCAGTCTACGTACGCGTTCTATTCGGCCTAAGAGAGAGTATCTTCTTCTCCCCCCGAGTACGACGTACGGTCATTCTAGCTGTATTTAGACTGAAAGATACCCCAAGTACAGCTATAATAACAGTACGTTGAATTCGGGGGAATAAGGGTAGTCGTGGGCCGTTAATCGACGGTCCAGAACGGAGAATAGAGATGGTCGTTGGTCTCTTGTGACTGAGGGCGTTCTCTCACCACCACTTATCTTAAATGTACCTGACAGCAGTTACGGCCGGAGCTTTATGCATCTGGCCTCAATTCCGTCCAGAAACACGTAAAAGATCTGCTATGGTAGTGGTAGTAGGCCCTTAATGTCCAGAACTGGGAATAGAGACACGTAGATCCTCGCAACGGGGAAAAGTCCCACTTACCCGATCACCTCCTTTCCCCCCCCCCCCCTCCTTCTCCTTGACCGTAGATTATAAATCAACTATCAGGTAAAGCGGGACGGCCTCTGGTGAGGTTTGTTTTTTTTCACGAAACAGCACCCCTATCATGTGTCCTCTCTCTGTGCTGCGTAGCGCTCGCTACTACCGTCTTCCCCCGAACATAACGCACCCTAAAAGTGAATGTATACAAGCTATATTTACGGCCAGATACAGCCAAAATGAGGGTGCGTTGTGCTCGGGGGAAGACGGTAGGCAAAGTATCTGGGCCAAGGTCACATTCTCTAGGACTTTGGTTTCTTTGTCGAGGGGTGTGGTTTCTTGTCGTTGATCCTGGGATCGAGGGTTGAGAACGAGAAATACAAGGGTTGAGAACGAGAAATACAGGCACAGCGAGCCGGTGGTGAGGTGGCTTATTCACCAAACAGCACGGCCTACCATATTTATCATCCCCAAAAAAAAAAAAAATCGATCTCTGCAGTGGTGCGCAGTGCTCGCTTGACAAAGTGTCTGGAGCACGTGCCCCAGGTACTTCGTCTAGCGCGCACTGCGAACCAGAGAGCGATAATAATTGAGTTGAGGACTCT